ATGGATGGATGGATGGATGGATGGATGGATGGATGGATGGATGGATGGATGGATGGATGGATGGATGGATGGATGGATGGATTCATGGATGGATTCATGGATGGATGGATGGATGGATGGATGGATGGATGGATGGATGGATTCATGGATGGATTCATGGATGGATGGAGGGAGAATCTTCTTCAATCAGGAGAACAGTCCAGTTGATTAGTGTTAAAGGGTCGGTCACGTATGGGCACATACAATGATGACAATACATAAACATTATATAAAATGTTCTGGATGAGCTGCACCAGCAGAGTCCATGAAAGAATACATGTTACATGTTATCAACAAATCTGCAACAAACATTCTGATTAAAAGCATCAAATAATAGAAGCTCCATAGAATTTACCTCCAGAAACATTTACAGTCTGTTGATCTGTTAAAAACGCATCGCTACAAAAGTGCATGTCAGAAGGAGCTTTGCCTTCTATTTCTTGTGGCAGATGACAGAAAAATTCCTTCGCAGAATTTGTATCAGATGCATGTTTTGGTCAGCTTCCAGTCAGCCACTAATGCCTGAGCAGCAGGTCACCCCCCCCCCCCCCCCCAACACCCCCCTGCTGTAAACTAAAGCAGATGTCATATGAGGAGAAGGCCTGCTGTTACATCATGGAGGTGCTCTCTGGTGACCGAGCTGGGATGCAGCAGTCGGGCTCACGGGCGTCCCAATCGGGACATCCAAGCTGGAAGGGGTCTGCGGCAGAAATCCATGAAATGCATGACAGCAGCGAAAACAAACCACCTGAGCGACGTCGTTAACAAACGAGCAGAGCCGCCGCAGAGGAGGAGGAACATTTCATCCTCGGACCTGACCAGGAGACCTTCAGATAACGTTCAGGAGGAGAAACACACACGCAGACCAACAGACATGGAGGAGGCTCTGTGTTTATGACCACACCACACACACACACAAGCATGCACAGTGTGCATGTGCTGCAGACCACACACTGTTGAGCAGATCTGTTTAAAAGCCAGGAGCTGTGTTTATCATTCCCTACATCCTGCTCACAGAAATATTTGCAGCAAAGAAATCTTGGTGTGTGTAAGTGTGTTTGTGTGTGTGTGTGTGTGTGCGCACGTGTGACACTGATCCAGGTGAACAGACGTGCACAGGTCTCATGTTGATGCAAACCCTGATTGGTGATTTTGATGTCAGTTTATTGGATTCTAACCTTTATTTAACCATCCCATCCATCCATCCATTACCTTTTACCCACTTCTTCCATGTTGGGTCATGGGGGTCGCCAGTGCCCATGTCCAGCAGTCACTGTGCGAGGGGTGGGGTACACCCTGGACTGGTCTCCAGTCCATCACAGGGCCACATAGAGACAAACGAGACAAACAACCATTCACTCTCTCACTCGCACCTAGGGACAATTTAGAGTCACCAATCAGTCTAACATGCATGTTTTTGGTCTGTGGAAGGAAACTGGAGTACCTGGAGAAACCTACTAAGAGAACAGCTTTCATGAGGGATTTTCAAAAAATATCTAAAGGTTCGCTGATTTTTATTTTTCCTTGCTTAAGTTTTTGAGACTTACTCTTGTGTTGCTGGAGTTTTGTATGTGTTGTACATTTTGCTTGAGAAAATGATGCTTAAAGAAGTCACAGAACTGTAGCAGGCAGCTAAAACCCACCTGGAACATTCTCAATTTAGTTTCTGTGAATCAGAAACTGAGGGAAGAGTGTAAAAATGTTGGCAGGGAATGTGACAAAAAAAAGAAAATTATTTGAGAAATAAGAAATACGGGGTGGCACGGTGGTGCAGTTGGTGCCACTTCGCAGCAAAAAGGTCGCCGGTTCAAATCCCAGTTTGGGACCATTCTGTGTGGGTTTTCTCTGGGTACTCTGATTTCCTCCCACAGACAAAAGAAACATGTATGTTAGACCGACTGATAACTCGCCCTAGGTGCTTTGTCTTGTTTGTCTATGTGTCTCTGTGATGGACTGGAGACCTGTCCAGGTGTCCCCGTGATGGACTGGAGATATGTTCAAGTGTCCCTGTGATGGACTGGAGACCTCTCCAGGTGTCCGTATGATGCACTAGAGACCTCTCCAGGTGTCCCTGTGATGGACTGGAGATCTGTCAAAGTGTCCCTCTGATGGACTGGAGATCTGTCAAGGTGTTCCTGTAATGGACTAGAGACCAATCCAGGTGTCCATGTGATAGACTGGAGACCAGTCCAGGTTTCCCTGTGATGGACTGGAGATCTGTAAAGGTGTCCCTGTGATGGACTGGAGACCTGTTCATGTGTCCGTATGATGCATTAGAGACATGTCCAGGTGTCCCTGTGATGGACCGGAGATCTGTCAAGGTGTCCCTGTGATGGACTGGAGACCTGTCCAGATGTTCGTATGATGCACTGGAGACCTGTTCAGGCATCCCTGTGATGGACTAGAGACCTGTCAAGGTGTCCCTGTGATGGACTGGAGACCTGTCCAGGTGTCCCTGTGAT